AGAGTCCATTGCAATTGAATGTGGACATTTGAGGGTGTGTTGCCTTTGGGGCACTGAGATTCTTTCTTTTTTCTTAACAGAAAGTAAGTATCCACTCGCTATTTCTTCTCTTCTTTTAATTCTGTATGCATTACAGAATTAAATAAGCTTAAATACACAAATTGTATTTAAGCTTATTTGAAGTTATTTCCACAAGGATTCCATGTTACACCCTAGTCCATGTTCATATGAAATAGAATAATGCCTTCATTCAATGAAATAGTTTTGGTATACACTGGAAGGGTATTATCTTAATACTCTTCCCCAATGGTCCAGTAAAGTATAGAATAACAAAAGCTAAATTAGCAATCTCCACACCCATTCTTTCTTACAAACTACTACAACTTCACTTCAACACAGTTTTCGTTTTCCACATCCAACTATCTACCCATGGGACCATAAAAACTTTTGGAACATTTTACGCTAAGATATTCTATATGCTGAAAGCAACTTTCTTTTTGGAGAATTTTTTTTTGCTTTGTTGAAGAGGGAAAGCAACTTTAAAACTCAACTGGTAACTGCTACAAGTCTCTTATTCTTCTAAAAACAATTATGTACAAAAACTCTAAATCACCCCAAGAAAGGTACAAAGCTCTTCAAATTATCTAGACCTCGTGCAAAGACATAAAATACTATCAGCAAGGCTGCAAGAATTGCAAGCTCACATATTCTGACAGGATTAGGACAGCAGGAGTGATACCAAAGTGGTAGCTTCAAAGAAAGATCAAGTAAGACAAGTTAGTCTTTTCAGAAAATGCAAGTGGAAGATGTCTATCTCTTTCTATTTGGAGAGGAGAGTTTGATTTACAGTACATAGTCCTACATCACTGCTGGAGCTTAATTATATTTAACCACAAGACCTCTGTACTTCTTCTGCTGGAGAGTGAAACAGTACATCTCTACTATTTCTGTTCTTTCAAGGGTGAAGATCTGACCTATATCCTTCCAAAGTTCCCTTTATCAGGTAGAGACTGTTCATTTAAATCCACTATTCCCATAACAGCAGCATGTGAGTATCAGTGGCGTGCCACACCAAACACATTTTTTCCAAACCCTTTGGCTTAAGTCATCTAGCTACTTTATATAGAGCAATTCTCAAGTTCACTTCCAGGTGGCAAGTCACCAATCATTCAGGCCTAGCTTTAACCTGCCAGTTTGGGAAAGATTCTCGTGTTCTAATCAGTCTGTTCACTTTACAACACTTGAATATTTTTTTTAAAGAGAATGCATTATTTCTGTGATGGAAGGGCAGGGTCAAGCTTAGAGACAATTGGCATCAGTGAACTGATACCTTACAGAATCTATAGAGTTAGAAGGGGCAGTTTAGGCCATCAAGTCCAAACCATTGCTATATGCAGGAATCTACATTAAGATATCCCTGACAGATACTGTAGCTGTCCAGCCTCTACTGAACAAATCCAGGGAAGGGGAACCCACCAATTCTCTAAATAATTGGTTCCACTATCAAACTGCTTTCACTGTTAGAAAAATTTTCATAACATTTACAGTACCTGGAATCTGCCTTCATATAATTACACCCATTATTCTGCATCTGCCCCCTAGGATGACAGAGAATATGTCTTGGCTTCTTATTCTACATCTCTCAAATCCAGAGAAAATAAAAGAAATAAAGGTGAAAAATGCAAACAAAACAAGCAGGACAAAAAAACAAAAACAGCTCTACAAAGTATCATCAAGTGAAAAAAGTACACACATATTCTCAAGGAAAGGAAAGACAAATTCTGCTAACAACTTCACTGTCCTGCACAGATAGATGCCTCTTTTGATACTTTCCCAAATATATAGCTTTCAATGTCCAGTTGGCTTTCTTTCTCACCTTACTTTCACACATCCCTTCTTCAAGATTATAATTAAAAATAAAATAAATGGAAAGCTGGCACCTGCAAAACAAACATCTACCTCTAGCATCTTATTTATTTGCAGGAATTTTTTTTCTTTTTGGCCTCTCTGGGATATCACAGAGCATTCTGGGAGGCTATAATTAAGAAACATGTCTAGCCTTCTCAAAATTGCCAATTAAGAATTCAGCAGATGTTGAATTATTGCTCAAGCACGTGACAGAATATTTTGGCAATTCTGGAAACTCTAGAAGTTTGTAGAACAGAGTCAAACAATGTCAAAAGCACTTCTTAAACAGATTGAAAGACATCCTCAGAGGTGATCCTCAGTTGTAACAAAACAACAAAAATGCAGAACAGTAGATGAAAATTTAGAGTCCCATTTTCAAACAATGTAGCTCTTCTGCTTTATTTTCTGTCATGCATTTCACAGCTCAGAAGCCTTAACACTAATCAACAGAATATATCTT